CAGTGTAAAACTCACATTTTTAAATAAATATTCAAGAAATTGACCTATTTCAGCAAGTATTTCTTTTCATTTTATCATTTTATAGTATATATATATATTTTTTATTAATCTTTAGTTAAATAAATAATGTATTTCATTGAAAAAAGTTATTTTTAAGTTTATAATTTCATTTTGATTATTAAATGGGTAATTTTATTGTAATTTTATAATTTTAAGTAACACTTAAACCACGCTTTAGATGAATAAATGAATTCTTGATATGAAATGTTATAATGTAAATGTTTATCTTAACATCACATTTTAATTACATAATGGGATATTCAACTATTTCTTAAAAGAGAATTTATTAATTTGATTTCAAATGTATTTTTAATCATTTAAATTGACTTAAAATATTCAAATATAATTGTTTTTTATAATTTAAGAACACATTTGTTACTTGTTACATAAATAAATAAGTTTACATTTTTATTTTTTAAATTTTGAATTTAAAAAGCATTTTTAATTAACTAATACGACATTTAATTATCTAATTGTGCATTTCACACTTTTGATATATGATTGGCCGACTTTAGGAGTTCAGGCTGACGTAGAACTAACTGGCCTGCAGAAGATAACGGAAAAAACAGATTTTAAGACACGATTTTTTTTAAATAGAAATTTTCTAAATTTTGGGACAATATAGTCTGATAAAGACGACATTTATATGCATGTTTAAGCCAGAATGATTTAACATTTAAACATGGCTTCCCTTCGACTTTAAGGCCTTTGTTCCACAGTGCATCTTTTAAATATAATCCAGCTTTTTGAATGAAGGCTTCTCTTCCCTGCGTTGCCTCTCAGACTGCCGCATTGCTCCATTCAGGATGATTCTTGCTTTGAAATTTGAAAAAAAAAGCTGCAAAAACCTTGGCAGAAGCGAATCCCCTGCTGTGTGAGCGAAGGAGCTGAACCCCCACCTTTAATATCCCAGCTCCTCCTGCATGAGGAGGGTTACTGGAGCGGCGGGGTGTTGTTCGGCTCTCTGGATAACCTCCGGTACGGACAGGTTGCAGCGGCGCTGTGTTTGAGGCTCTTTTTCTTTATGCACCTTTCTGCTTTAGAAGTCCTCTGATTTCGCTGCTTGCTGCCTTGACCTTTGCTTCCAGCCTCTAGTCACTTCTGGCTTTCAGAAGGGTACATATCAAATGAAAAGATATTTTTGTGACATTAAAAAAAATGACTTTGCCCACATACATTCTGAACACTTTAAGCAAGTTTGGAGAAAAACATGTTGCAAATACTGGTTCTAGGCTCAGGTTTAAACCTGCTTTGTGATAATGTTCATCTTAGCAGCATATTACCTTTAATGAGGGGGAACTGATCAATATATTTAAGTTTGTGGCATAAATTTTAATAAAACCACATAAGATCATTTGTTTTATTTGATTATTAGAGACATGGGCGGTCCTAGACAGGGGCCAGCGGGGGCCAGTGCCCCTGTTACAGCCCCTGTACCGAAGACAAAATACTAAAAGTAATTCTAATGATGATCTGCGCTGGAACAGACATGGTTCATTTGGGTCTATTTCATTTATTTTCTTTACAAATTCAGTTTTACTAATTATTTAATATAAAATGTGAAAGCCTCAGTGGTATTGAGGATCCCAGTTTTTTTCAAAACTTCGATTTTATATTAAAAAAAAATCGTAATTTTTACTTAAATTAATTAAAAAGCATGTAAAATTCCAAAATTATTTATGTATATTGAGCTAATATTCCAAATAATACCTTTATTTTATCTTTTAGATATTTATATAGCTATAACTTTTTTTTTAGTTGCTTATTGCTATGCTAAGGGATTTTTATTTTGAATTTAATGATAATCACAATGACCTCTGACCCCTCCATGAAAAGGTCTGAGCCTCTAGTTTCCAATGATGGCAGCCATTAGGGGGCGGGGCTAAAAATAAATACCTGCTGTTGCATTACTCCCACAGAGTCTCACATGTCAGGTGGAATTTTAAATCTCATTTTATTTGTTTACACAGTTATAAAATAAAAAATAACTTTATAATTTTTAAACATATTTAAGAAATTTTAAAGCCCCATTTGAAAGGGGTGTGGATGAAACACCATGCGACTGCGTTTTGGTCAGATGGGGCCTGATGGGCTTAAGGGATTAAAGCTGAAAATCCTGCATAAAACTTCCAGAACTGATATAAAGTCGCTGATTATTCCAGAAACGGCTCAAAGGTTTTGGAGAATTTTGAAGGTTGATGGTTTTTGTTAAAGTGGTAGGGAAGTGGTACTGAAATGTCAAATCATTCTGACTTAAACATGTTTATAAAT